ACAAACGCAGCTGGATGCTCCACCCTAGCGTGCCGTCTTCCCGTTGCACCAGCTTAAACACACACTGCACAATCTGCTCTGTAAGGTAAATGCCCTCGTCGCACATGTTCCCGCCACTGGTCTGCACTCATCCTAACCATTCTTGGCACTGTTCCCCAGTTTCTGATAGCAATCACCACCTGCTCATAGAACTCTGTAGGCCATACACAAGCTGGGGTTTTTTCTGGTACCGGTCCACCCGAGTGCCACCGCATGCGAAGCCCATTGACATGGCATAGCGGTAGATTCGTGCCAATAGTTGTGTGCCTTGTAAAAGCCTTCCCAAACGCGGCCATGTCAAAGCTATACGCATGCAGTCCAGCTTCTAGCGCGTACTCTGTCCACATAGGAGTCCTCCAAAAACTCACCACATCGGGATACAAGGGATCCTCAAACTGTAGATATCCCCTAGGGTCTCGTGGATGCTCCAATAAAAACCCCACTTCCCTCTGGGACTCCGGGTCTGGCTGCGACTTGATCCTTCCAGCTGTAGAAAGAGCATGAAGGTACACCATTCTCACGAGCAGTTGGGTTTGCTTGTTCACCTCATATACATCTGCTTCTGATTGTCCATGCCAGTTTCCGTACGGGTAGTCATTGGATCGCAATGGGCTTGGTCCCCCAACCACATGTCTTGAGATCATAAAGGATCCTTGAGGCGGAGGACCGCCTACGATGGCAGCTATTTTCCCTTTCCGGGCTGCATACTCCAGAGCCTTCCAAGTGGACTGTCGTAGGATATCGTGAGTGCGCCCTCGCTCCACACCTAGCTCCAGGACCGCGTATCCATGCTTCTCCAGATGGTAGAGATCACGTTTTTCTTTGTTCCCGGCGAATAGATGTAGAACCCACTTGTTCGAACCCCAAAGCTTCTTTCTTGTTCGTCTGTTCAGGTGCTCTAGTCCCTTCAACGAATCCCACCCATTGGCTTCCGGCATTGCCTCCACAAGGCCTGTTAGACACTCCTTGGGGACATCCTGGAAGAAGGGCGCCGCGTCTGCTGCTGCTAAGGCCTGGCTTGCTAATCCGCTGTCCACGTACGACGACAAGTAGTCAAACCACGTCCTATTCATAGCAACCGCTGCAGCCTTAACCCGTCGTCTGGTTGCGCTGGTATTGATCTTCAAGGCCTCCAAGTTTTCATCCTCAAGCCGGGCTATCAAGTTCAGCGCGTCATGCTCTGCAATCTCTGGACACCCTTCACGAACACGAAGATTGTAAACCTCCTCATCTCGTCCCTCAAGCTTGCACCTACTACTGTTCCATGTCATAGTATAGCCCAGCTGACCCACCAATGCTCCCAACGGTACGATTGGTGTTGTAGACGAGGTAGTTGACATAGTCGACGCTGGAACCAAAATAGTCCCGGCTGCATTCATCCTCAAATAAACCGACTCACCTCCCGCCAGGTTGACTATAACTGGCGCCGCTTGCGACCACTCCTCCTGGCTCTTTGCCCTTCGGAGCGCATGCGTTGCCCCAGAACCTATCAAAGCAAAGGTCTGCTGCGTTCCTGACATAGGCTGGTGCGCTCGAAGAGAGATCACATTGATCGAAGGTCCCTCCGGTGGCTTAGCTCCCGCCACTTTGGCCGCAGCTTGAAGCAAGGCTTCCAATGTCCACACCGGCTCGCCACTGACAACTGACGTCGCCTGTGCCGTGGGTGATGTCTCACCCTCTGGCTCCATGCGCTGCACCTTCGGGTCTCGCGAAGTGGAAGAAGACGTCTGCTGCTGGCTCCCAGGGTTTCCCGTCGATCCCTTCTGTCCTCCCTTGGAAGTCCTTGTGGGACACTCGCGTTGCCTGTGGTCCTCTGCCCCACATAGTAAACAACGCTTGGCCCGGTCCTGTTTGGACAAATGCGACATGTCGTGGCTGTAAGGACACTTGGAGCCTCGACGACAGCCTCCTGCACGAAAGAAATATTTACATGATCCCTTCGAGCTTGTAGGCGAGGATGGCGAAGATCCTGTAGCTCCTCCTGTGCCTTGGTGACCAGCACCCAGCTGTCTCACCTTAGCCAGCAGCGTATTGTTTGTAGTTTTCGCCGCAACCATTGTCTCTATCTCAGCTTGAAGGTGTTTCTGGTATCTGCAAACATCTGCTTGGGTAGGTTGGGCGTCGATCCTCAAGCTTGAACGGAGTAGTTGCGTGCGAAACTGAGCATCTGGGTTTTCTCCGATAAACTTCGCGGTAGTACCTGTAAGCACCTTGGATAATACTGAACCGTCCGGTACCATCATCTTCAGGTCCTTACAGCGTTGCACCCACCTCGGCCAAGCCCTCAGCCACACCAAGGCTTCTTCTAAGGTTGCTGGGGTTGTAGTCGTCTGTAGATTTCCCAAGACTGTCGATCGCTCCGAAGCTCCGCCCGGCTGATATGTTGTATGCAAACGGAATAACACCAGAGGAGAACTTTGCACCACTCTCCTGGATATCAAGTCCAGCCTCACTTGCTCTGTCAAGCTTTGCAGTATCAGCGAACAGGCCCGAGCGTTCACTCGTGTCCACTTTCCGGTAGTCAAGTTCTCGTGGTCCTTTGGTTCCAGCTGTAGGCGTTCCAACGGAGACGCCGCCAACCAAAGGGTATATGTTGACTGTACCAGATCTACCACTTGTTTCCACCAAGTACCCGACGAAGACGACAAATCTTGCATAGGAATTGTAACCTGAGTCAGCCAGTCTTGTAGCATAATCCCCATCGTGCTCCCCTCTGGACTGGCTAATAACGGCAATGCGATTGTATTGTTTTTCACTTGCTCAGGTGCATCTTCCCCCTCTAGGTCCTTCTTAATCGTCTTCTCATGTAAACCCTGCAGGTTGGTGAGGTTCTTTGTCAGGGCCTCAAGGATCGCATTGGTCGTGACCGCCTCGCTCGCTGGTTGCAGTTCCTCCTGGCGCAACGACCCGTGCGCCCGCGACTCCGACCCCTGACCATTCCTGCCCGAAGTCAGCTCTTCCCACAATGCACCCAACGGATCACGCCACGGATTTGGTCGGGCTGTCGAGGGACTAACACCTTCATCTTGCAATACTGTAGGGCCTTTGGGTTGTAAAGGAGGAACTTGTTGTTGTACAGTATCATCCCGAACCCCTTGCTGAGGATCACCTTGTGGTACGTCAGAAAATAGTTCTCTAGGCCTTTCTTCCACGCACAGCTCCGCTTTGGATCGCCTTGCTTGCTGTAAGCCTATTTGCAGGCGCTGGTTCTCCGCTTCAGCTTGCTGCAACCTGTCCAGTAACGATCCTAGCTGCCGCTGCACCTCTGCTTGTATTGCTTCTGCTGGTATGCTGCTACTGCTTGGGGTATAGTGATTACTAGGGTTTAAACCTCCTACCCTTCCGTCATCACCTCCACCTCCTTGTAGCAACCCCGACGCAGGAGGAGCTCCGGCCGATATTGACTGCGGAATCGCGCCTCTTGGCGCCTGTTCCCCCACGCTGCGGGGTCGTGGTGGTGATGGCATAGGACTCGGCAGCCATTGCACCGGGGGTGCCTTGAACATATCGCCAATCCTATTTAACCAACTCGGCCACACTGCTCCAGACGTAGGTCTCATACCAGCTTGCATGCTCTGTATCGTCCTTGTAGATCGCGGCGTATAATAACCGCCACCCACTTCTGCATCCACGTTCCCAGATGGCGTCCTTGGGGGCTCAGTTGCAGTCTGTCCATCAGCCGGAATCACTCCGCTTGAGTTAGCTTGGCTAACTATGTCTGCGCCAGTCTGTATCCTCTGACCTTCAACAGCTTCCAGACCCATCAGCACTCCCAGTTGGAACACTCGAATTGCTTTCTGTAGCCAGTTGGGCGGGCACCGGGCCAGACACCTCGACATTGCCCCCAGTACCTTTTTCGCTCTCAGCCACAGATCCATAACCATTCACCTGCGGTTGCGCAGATTCATCTTGCACCATACGGTCTTGTAGACCCATCGCAGCATCCTCCCTCGTACTCGTCGAAGGACCAGGATCGCCGCCTTGTAGCGGAGTTACAGCACCAGCTTGGGCGCTCATAACCTGATGATAGGCAGCACCGCTCACAGGCAGACAAAGATCAAGCCATGGGCGCACACCTACATTTCCTTTTTTCCCACTCACACACAACCAGTTAGAGCTTCGGGCGGGGGTGTACAAAGGGCCTGAGCTCTCAGTTGCTTGGCTTCTGCCGAGAAGGGCACATGCATTAAGTCGAGTTCATCTTTACAGCTGGCTCAAGGGCATCTTCGTAGCCTTCCTGAGCCACAAAAAACATGCGACAAAGCTCAGCAGCAAATGGCTTACCAGAGCCCTGAATTCCCATTTTCATCACTTATAGTTAACTTTGAAGGGTACCCTAAACCCAAAGCCCGTAGCCCCAAACCCAAGACCATAAACCCAAAAAGCCCAAAACCCTGTAAGCCCTAAACGCAGTTCCCATAATGGGGACCTGCACAGTAATGCAGGTTACTTATCATGGTAACTTAAATGTACCTTAGCCTACTAGACCCTACTTTTTTGGTAGGGCCCTATACGGGTTTAGGGCTTAGGGTTTATAAGCTTCCTACTAGGCTAGATGATAAGAACCTGACAAAGAAAGAGGCTTTGGTCCGGTAGGTTAAGGTACAGTAATTCCATAAACCCTAAACTCTAAACCCAAATTAGCTACTGTAAGTAAGAACACGGGTTCCTTAGCAGGGTAGCTTACTCTAATGCCCTACGTAGTTCTTTTTGGGGATTACCTTATCGGATCCTAACAATAAACCACAAAAAGGAACTAATATGGAGCCTATAGGTATACCCAAATTCACTAAAACTCCCTCCTAAACCCTAAACCCTGGACTCTAAGAATGCTGCCGCAAACTGCTCCGGTGGAGGTTCCGAAGGCTCCTCGCGTTCAGGGGAAGCTTTTGAAGGTTTAAGAGTTTAGGGTTTAGGGTTGTAGGGTTTAGGGCTTAGGGTTTTAGGGTTTTAGGGTTTAGGGTTTTAGGTTTTAGGGTTTAGGGTTTAGGGTTCGGGGGGGGCTTTTTGGGGTCGCCCTTGAAGGTTACTCTCAGAGGGTACTATCATTGAGGGATTCTGTAGCAGTACTATGGGGGGGTTATAAGGGGTACTATAAAGGGGTACTATAAGGCACTGTGAGGGTTCTGGTGCTTTTAGGGTTCGGTGTTTAAGGTTTAGAGCTTTACGGTTTGGGGCTTGAGGCTTCGGGACTCAGGATTCGGGTTTTGGATTTTTGCCTTTAGGGTTTAGGTTCCTTCTTGTGGGGTTAGAATTTAGGGCTTTTTACGTAGAGGTTTTAAGCATGGTTCATATAATAAGGTTTAGGGTCAAGGGTGCTCGTAGGGTTTCCAGATGGGTTTCCGTTCCTGCAGGATAAGGGCTTCAGAGGCATTTATGAATGTTTTTTGGCGGGGTTTCCCAGGTTTTTCATAGGGTGGGTTCTTGTTCAGGAACTTTTATGAAGCTGCCACAGCAACCTCCTTGCGGTAGCTCAAACTGGGCTTCTAAACAGCAACCCAGTTGGGGCTTCGAGATATCTGCCAGTCCTAGGGCCGCCAATCAGTCGTGTCTAAGGTGTAGGGTTTAAGGTTCAAACCCTACACTCTCAACCCTAAACCCCCAACATTAGAACCCCTGAACCCGAAACCCCAATCCCTAGACTCCAATCATCCTAAGCCCCAAAGCCTAACCCCTGTACCCGGAATTTCGGGCCCTTGGATTTTATCGACTTTTCGGGATTCGGGTTTGGAGGGGGGGGGTGGGTTCAGGGGTTTATGGCTTTAGATCCAGTCGCGCTTTGGGCTCGGGAGTTGCGGGGTCTGGAATTCGGGCTCAGAAACAAAGATGTTGGGTTTCAGAGCTGCTTCCTGACTTCGTACTGTGGGGTGCCTCCTTAAAATCATCGAGTTCGGGGAGTGTGTGTGAAAGCTGTAGAAACTTCCTCTTGCGGATCATGGAATGGAGTTGAGTCCATCTGTCCGAAACCGCCGTCTTGTACCGACCCGCCAGCAATTGCGGACAGTTTGACTTTTTGTGGGCATAGCCTGTTGCATGGACATCTTTTTTGATTCCCAAACCCTATAAACCCTGCAAGGCTCTCCAAAATCGTCCTATTTTCTCTCACTTTTTTCGACCTCACAGCAGCCGAAAGGTACTAAAAAAGGGGCCTTAATAATTTAGAATAGGGTTTTCGGGGCCCATTGAGGGTGCCTTAAAGGGCTCTATAAGGGTTCTATAAGGGTGTACTGTAGGGGCCGTAATAATTAGAATGGGGTTTTGGGGCCCATTATGTCATAATTCTAATAAGGAACCTCCCAAAAGAATATAGGAAGTTATTCAGGCCCCTACATTAGATTGGAGATGCTTTCCCAAGCTCTGAAATTTCGACTGCAGCAAGTTCTCGTATCACAACGTCCAGTGCAGCGGCAGCGGGCACAGGCAACGCCGGAAAGCCATAAAGCCATCCTGCATATCCGGCATGTCCCCAGCTCAGAGTCGGAAAGCATTCCAGCTTGAAGGCCAGTTACGCTGCATTGACAACCATAGGGACGGGTTGCGAGCGTTTGGAGGAACCCAAGAAAACATGCCGCACAGACTTTTCGTCGGTCGCCAGGGTGGCTTGGAATGCTATGTGTGCATCTGCGTTTCCGGATTCCGCCGCTGGTGGACATGGGTGGGATCCATTGCTGCCCAAACAATAAACTACATATGCATACATCTACAAACCAGTAACTGTGTTTCGAGGCCGAAACCCCACGCCCTAGCCCTAAACCATAGATTTCGCATCGAATGCAAAAGACACAAGCAAAATCCTAAACCTGCGGTGGACCCTATGTAAAACCGCAAGCCATTCAGCCACCCAAACAAAACTCCTCTAAACTCCTAAACCCTAACTTCCAAACCCTAAACTCCCAAACCCTAAACTCCTAAACCCTCACCCAAGGGAAGACAAGTCCCCGGTGCTTAAGCCCCTGCTCCGAGGCCCCAGCTGTCTCTGACCTGGGGCGGTGGAAGGGTAGCTTGATTAAAGGAAACTACAGGTGGAGGAGTTTAGGGTATATCGGGCTTCTATAAGGCTCCTATAAGGTATATAGACCTTCTACAAGGCTCCTATAACGGTAACTACCCATCTGAAAATGGCCTAGACTGGAGGCTTGAAGGGCGGTGAAGGGTTTTTGGGGCTTAGGCGTTGAGGGATCAAGGGCTTGAGGTCTAGGACTTGTCTAGGACTTACGAGTTACGAGCATTAAGGTTTACGGCTTGGGGCTACCATCAGTCAAGATTGTTTGCAAATGTAGCATGCTTGATTGTTAGTTGTTTTTGAAACAATTCTTGTACGTGTTGTAGTATGATTCCTGTGGTCAGTTAGTATATTAATAAGCCGTCATGCTACATGTAGTTCGTATTACCATCACAGCAACAACCGAAATTCAACAGCACAACCCCAGACACTTAACCCTAAACCCGAAACTCTATCCGCAATAGAGCGACCGATTGTAATGCTGGCATCCTAAAGCCCAACTTGCAAGGACTCCTGTACCCTGAAACCCCAAAGCAACAAAATCCTCACAGCCGAAGCCTAAACCCTAAACCCTGAAGCCCCAAAGCAACCAAATCCTCACAGCCGAAGCCTAAACCCTAAGCCCTAAAACCCCAGTCCCCAAAATCCGTACAG